GATCTAAAGCTACATGTGCAGGGTGAGGTAATATGTGTAGACAAGGTGAACTGGAAGCTCACAGAGGGGCAAGAGGAGGGATTTTTGATAAGTACTGTACAGGTCTAAGGTTGTGCATGGAATTCCCGGACATACCTGGAATACTGCAGTTGGAAGCAGTGCCTGGGTGGAAATTGGCAAAAAAATGTATGGCAAAAACGCTCAACAACATTTGTGTCTGGATTTTCACTTTCTGGAATATGGCAACCTTATATGCACAGCCCTGCAGCCCTTGCCAGGCTCAGCTTTCTTGTGCACAACTGAATCCTGACCTCCCATTGCATCTGGTCACCTAAATGTGTGGCTTGCTGTGATTCTGCATCTGTTTTTCGAAGGTTTTAACTATGCTCACTTTTAAATGAGGTCCTGCACCTCTCAGCTTCTTCCATGTTTCATTAGAAAGCTAGATTAACTCTCTGGTCAAACTGCGTTCCTTTTCTCTTGCCCCCTCAGTCATGTGCCAGCATTGGTTTTGGTGAGCTCCAGGGTTCTTTCAAATGTCTGTCTGTCTGCCTCTCTCCCCCCCAACTCTTGTTTCCCTATAAATTATGTACATGGAAAAAATGGGGCCAGAAAGCAGCAGGCATCAATAATTGATTGCAGAACCTTCCTAAATGATGAGCTGCATCTTGGCGTCTGTAGCGGTGCCTGGTGTTCTTCTTGTTTGGAAACAATTGTATGGGGGGGGGGGTTGCTGACAAATATACAGTATTGATGTTTGTAAGGGGATGCTGCAGGTTTTTCAGTAGATGTTTTATAAAAGAGAGCTTTGTTTCATTTTGAACTGTTGCCTTTAAATTTTTATTTCTTTTAAAACATTCTGCACTGCCTTTCATACACCATGAAAAGGAAGTGTACCAAAAAAAAAAAGGATAAAACATACAGTGGTACCTCAGGTTACATACACTTCAGGTTATGTACGCTTCAGGTTACAGACTCCGCTAATCCAGAAATAGTACCTCGGGTTAAGAACTTTGCTTCAGGATGAGAACAGAAATCGTGCTCCGGCGGCAGCAGGAGGCCCCATTAGCTAAAGTGGTGCTTCAGGTTAAGAACAGTTTCAGGTTAAGAATGGACCTCTGGAATGAATTAAGTACTTAACCCGAGGTACCACTGTATTGTAAATGTTGAGGTTCTGTCTGGAAAATAGAAGTAGATGAAGATTAATCATGCTAGCTAGAGCATTCATCAGACTGGTTCAATATGTGCAAAGCCATGTACAAAATATTATAAGAACTGAAAAGAAAGTTTGGTTTTCTAGAGTCTCTGACCTGGTTTAAGATCCATCTTTGTGATATTGACTCATTGTGCAGGCTTGTTACCCAAGCTGAAGTTTCTTTATATAAGGCATAGTAACCCACCAAAAAGAGTTATTGCGAGGCCAAACATAATAGTCTATAAAGTCACCTTGAAAGTTTTACGGGTGAAAGGGTGGGCTATCAATATTTTTAAAATAAAATAATGTCCCTCACCAGATTAAAATGTGCTACGGAAGCAATCACTAGAGTAATTGTCATTACACATTTCTGTAACCTATGGACTGATGATTCAGCTGACTTTTGTATACCTACCACCAATCTTCACCTCAAGGTGAGGACAGCAGAGGAGTGAAGAGAGCACGTTTTGAATTAACTGTTGCAGCGTGCGGCTTTTAATAACGGCCCTCAACCCATCCAACTGGAAAATAGCTTGTGAAATAGAAATGTTTATATACTCCTTAAAGATGAGTGTGTAGTTCTTACTTCTATGGCCTGTTCTATAAAAGCATTACTATGGCAGTAGCGGTGATGTGGCTTTGCTCGTTTGGATCAGAAGACGGGCAAAACTTGAATAATTTGCAGTTTCAGGAGAGTAGCCATGTAAAAGTTTGTAATGGCAAGGTATGCTCTGTGTAATACCTTCAAGGTTAACCAAGCTGTTGTGGAAAGGACAACAAATGAAACCGCTCTGCCGGGGGAAAGCTCTTATCCTCGTTTTCTTTAAAAGCAAAGGCCTATCTATTACCACTAGCATGGTAATACTAGATTGTTAAAAGTGCATTTGACCTTTTTGCTAAATCCCGTAGTTGGGATAAAAGTGCATTAGAGGGGGCATGGGTAGTGTATGTACACACATTGCAACCGTGCTGTGAGTGGTTCTATTCTAAGATGTTCAAACAAACAGTCAATAAAAGATATGTGAAGGAAGCTGTATGTGAGCTGTAAAGAGAGAAGTTTGTTACCCTTTTGTTTAAATTCCAGACAGAGTTTTCCAAGTGTTGCCATATCCTATTATTTTTATGTGGCAGGGTAGTCTCCAATTCCACCGCCGTGGAAGTCGATCACAATCTGAGGAGGCTTTCAGAGCAATTGCAAGATTTCCATTTTTGCTCAAATGTTCTTTTTTTTGGTGGTATCTCAAACAGTTTTTTTAAAAAAAATGCACTGGGTGATACACAGAGTTTGTCATATTCCTAAGTCCATTGATTTCAGTGGGTGTGCTCGTGACTGTGACTAACTTTGGATGTGATGCATAAAGCTACTTTTTCAATATGGAACATAGTGCCTCAGAGCAGATGACCTCAAGGCTTTTTTTAACACGGGCTGGAAAAATTTCCATGGCTATATTTCTCTGCAGAAAACTTCAAACTTCTAGAAATGCATCATTGATGCATTTACTAACTTGTTTATATATCCTGCCCTCTATCACGTTGCGGGGTTCACAATTTGTGCATGCGACACGACATCAGCAAAACCAAGAACGAGTAAAATGTTCTCTAAAATATTCATCTTAAAGCTGTAACATTAGGCTGCAAGATTAACAGTTCATACATGCATGAGGAACCAAGTACTAACGTGGTACCAGAACAGAGCCAAAGTTGGTGCTAGCTGGACCTCAGAGGAGTGGTCATACCACAGACAGGGTGCCACAACAGAGAAGGCCCTTCCTCTTCCATTGCTACATAATCTGAGGTGTACCTAGGCTCCCTTGCACCCTTGGCAAGGAGCTATATTGGTGCCCCACAATCCCTTGCACCCTTGACAAGGAGATACTGGCTGCCCAGAGGAGCAGCCCGGGATGTGTACACATGGGTGGGTGGGTTCCTAGCCAGTCTGAGTCAGTGGATAGGAGTGATTTTGCGTCCCCCCCTCCCGGGTCTGCACCATTTGTAGGAGTCAACCTGACCAACCCCTAGGTATTCCCCTGCAAGTAATGTTCCAAACTTAAACATGGAAAGCGTAATGCTGGTGGTCAACAAAAGAGGTTTAAAGACTGTCTCAAGGCAAATCTTAAAAAATGTAGTATAAACACCAACAGTTGGGAAACACTTGCCTGTGAGTGCTCCAATTGGAGAACAGCCTTTACCAAAGGTGTAACGGGCTTTGAAGACACTCGAACTCAGGACGCAAGGGAGAAATGTGCTAAGAGGAAGGCACGCTTGGCAAATCCACACCGTGATCAACTCCTACCCGGAAAGCAATGTCCCCACTGTGGAAGGACGTGTGGATCCAGAATTGGCCTCCACAGTCACTTATGGACTCATTGTTAAAACCGTGTGTATGGAAGACAATCTATGAGTGATCACCAAAGAAGAAGAAGCACGTAATGTACGACTCTCAAAAGTGAGATGCAGAGAAGGGCCTCTCCAGAAGAATTTAATGCTTAGGCAAGACAACAGAGGGAGAGGTACCTCCTTCAAACGTCTCTGTCTGAGGCTGTCTAGGGCTTTAAAAAGTTATTGCAGACATCTTGGAATTTGGACGGGAAATATATTGGCAGTCGGTGCGGTTCCTTTCGCAACCAGAGTCACGTAGCTCAAGCTACCTGCTCCACTTGGCAAACTAGGAGCTGGTACTAGCTGCAGCATCTAAGTCATCTTGAAATGGCAGGCGCTCAGAGCGCATTATAGCAATCCAGGTTTATCAGAGCATGGGTTACCATGGCAAGCCTACTTGTATACGGGAATGGCTGTAGCTGGTGAACCTACTGTCCAAAGACCAGCTGGGACTTCCAGGTATCTAAGAGTACTCCCATACATATTTGCTCCTTGGGTGGCTGGGGGAGTGTATCTCTGGTAGAGATGTCAAATAAATTCAGCACAGGTCTGTCCGTTTTGAATCCTATAAGAGAGAATAAAACCAATCACAGGTTTCCCTTTTGAATATGTACAGCTAACCTGAACAACGCTGCTAAACCCTACTGCGGGGAAATGTATGTGTTACTCTGGCAACAGACCTTGTGTTGTCCCTGCAAGTGTTGCAGTCTCCTTAAGTGATAACCTTTGGACTGTTTCTCAGCATCATTATTATTCATGGTTTAGAATTGTGGGAGAGACTTAAGTGCACACCTGTGAAAAATGCTGTACTGAGATGGCAGAGTTAAGCAATACTGTAAAAATATGGTGTGGAATAGATAACTGCGCGTGTGCCAACCAATGACTTATAAAATGTAGTTATTAACAAATAATGTAAATTTAAGCCTAGTGGCTAAGTGGCTGGGCTACAAATCAGGAAGTCGACTTATTTATGTGATGTTCAATACACACAACAATTAAAAGCATTATAAAAGTGCCAGCTACCCCGTTTTTCCTTTCCTTTTTCAGTTTGCAAATTTGGAAACTCTGCCAGGAAAAGTGGGTGTTGGAAGAGAAACATCATATGGCTTGGAGGCAGGCATACTGTACATTTGTAGGGGTAGCAGGCTGTAAGGAGGGACGGACGGGGAAATAAAATGTTTGCTACTGACTCACCTCTTCTGGTTTTGGAGTTTTGAATGAAACCAATAAATATCTCCACAACCATGAGGGCTAGGAGCTTACTGATATTTTAAAATTGAAGCATTCATTTCCACGAGTTATTCCACGATGCATTGTACTGATTGTGTCCATGTTGATAATTAGAACCTCTGTGGTAGTTCCCTTCCTTCATAGTATATTGAACTCCTAATTCTTACCAGCCTCTTTGTTTCCCTCTCTTTTTCAGGAAGCTACTTTGCCAGTCACTTCATCATGGGAGGTGAGAAGTTTGATTCTACACATCCCGAGGGCTACCTTTTTGGAGAAAACAGTGATCTCAACTTCCTTGGGAACAGGCCTGTAGCGGTAAGGAGGGGGAAAAAATCCCATTTTAATAAAGTCGGATTTGTAGCTGTGGGGGGTATGAGTGGACATGGAACAAATATTCCTTTTTAGGAGTTTTTGTTTCATTTTGCATGCATCCTCACTCTACCTACCTCGCAGGGTTGCTGTACGTATAAAATGGGAGGACTATGTACACCACTTTGAACTCTTCGGAGGAAAGGTGGGATATAAATATAATAATAAGTAAGATGTTATTTGCACTTAGTCTTATGGGAAGGCATTTTATGTTAGATCTGTTTCAGAATCCAATTCAAGATCCCTAAAAACACAGTAGGGTTCCTAACATGCCTAGGTAGCTCTTAAATCTAGCTGTGAATGTTCATTGGTTCTGAAGTGCTGTCCATTTGGTGACATGGGCAACCCAGATGCAAACTGGTGACTACTCAGAAATGCATGGTTTGCAATGATTCACATAATCAAGCGCTTCTCTGAGGGTACCAGGAGGCAGTATTGGGTGCTTTATCTAGAAGGCTGCCTGAAACATCCCTCAGCCACATGTTACCCTTTGTACAATATTCCCCTGAGACTCAGTTCAAAAGCAAATGTGGAATATCTAGTTAGCATGAACTGTGTAGGAGGGATGGTATGGCTGCAGGAAATGTTAATGCATTTTGCATCTTTTGAATTGTAATGTTTTGTGGTGAATCTGCCTGAGATCTATAGATGAAGGGCAGTTACACATTTAGTAAATAAAAAGAATAAGAATAAGATTGCTTGTTGATGTGCGAGGGTTTGAGAGGATGTGTTTTTTCCCTATGATACGGAGACGTGTGTCCTTCTTAGCACTGTAGAGTGCCCTTCCTTAAACAAACAACTCTTAAACAGAGAGCAAGTCCATGTTAGAATTTGCAGGAATCCAGTGTGTGCAATACTGAATAAACATTGCAAATAATAATAAAAAGTGTATAGACTTTGTGTGTTTATATATGGCACGAAGTGCTTTTACAGATAATTGAGGAGCAAGTGCCATTATTTGGTTTAATTAACTTTGTGATTCGTGTGTCCAAGAACGGCGTGTCTGAGGAGTGTACAAGCATCTCTCGTGGATTAGAGTTGCTGGATGATCCGCCTATATCTCATCACCTTAGGGTGTTCTTTACACACTTGAGGTTCCAGGCAGTTCAACATTTCGTATATGCTCCTTTGTCTTGAGTAGTTAATTCTTAGCTTCCCTTCCACTATTTACAAGAGAAGCCTGACATTTTGATGCAGAGTATTCTGGACAGGCTTTTGCTCTTTTTCCACCCCCACCCTTCATGCCTCCGCTTGGGTCTTCTGTGACTTGATGTGTTTGTTCTAAAGAGCAGCCACAAAGTGTCCCTGATCCTATTTCTCAGGCTGAAGCAGTCTTGCTTTATTGCCTGCTAGCTCAGCAAAGCGTTAAATGTCAGACCGTGTTTCAGACCTCCAGGATGTGCAAGACATTAATTATGGACAGAGGGTCTTCTATCCTTCTTCCCTGTCACATTCAGAACATTGTCCTTTGTGTGAAACGATAAGATGGGGAGGTGCATTTCTACAACGTCCAGAAGTGGTGTTCTATGAGATGGATGGACGAAGCAGGACAGCTTTCCAGTTTAGCAGAACTTTTTTCTGTGCTCACACCCTGACTTGCCTGTAGGGTTGCTCATGTGTAGGGAGAGGGCTGTGGTTCTAGGCATGTCCATGATGTTGCGCTGTCTTGTCGCTGCACTCGCACAAAGGGCTCTCATGTCAGGCCTCCATCCTTTGACGCACATAGATGAGGAGATGCTTCAGAGACAGGGACGCAACATTGAGGCAAGGCTAGAAGTGTGCCCTTGCTCCTGTTGTTGCATATGAATGCCCTGTAACGAATAAATACGTGAGTAGGGCTTTTACCTAGGAGTGTTCTTTATTAGTATTCTGCTTACAGTGTGAGAGGTGGGGTCATCCACTTTAAGTGTCACTGCTACTTGCTGCTGGAAACCCAGCCAGATTTTTTTTGGGGGGGGGTATAAATTATTATTATTATTATTATTATTATTATTATTATTATTAGCAATGCTTAATGTTTGTTTAGAACCACTCATGTGTTCAAAGTCCTTCACATGGCACCATCCAATTGTAATACTATAATAGCCCTGTAAGGTAAGTTGGTGTTAATTTTGCTCCATCTAGCATCTGGGGTACTGAGGCTGGGGAAGAGTGGCCTTCCTAAGATCACCTTGTGAGTTTATGGCAGAGATACGCGGGTGGCGCTGTGGGTTAAACCACAGAGCCTAGGACTTGCCGATCAGAAGGTCGGCGGTTCAAATCCCCGTGATGGGGTGAGCTCCCGTTGCTCGGTCCCAGCTCCTGCCAACCTAGCAGTTCGAAAGCACGTCAAAGTGCAAGTACATAAATAGGTGCCGCTCCGGCGGGAAGGTAAACGGCGTTTCTCTGGTTTGTCAGAAGCGGCTTAGTCATGCTGGCCTCATGACCTGGAAGCTGTATGCCAGCTCCCTCGGCCAATAAAGCGAGATGAGTGCCGCAACCACAGAGTCGTCGGTGACTGGACCTAATGGTCAGGGGTCCCTTTAAGATTTGAACCATGGGACTTTTTGATTTCTCATGGGGGAATTTGACAGGTGGTTGTGGCCATTTACCAGTCAATCACTTGATGTCACAGGGACATTAGATGGGGTCATTGAAACCCCTATGATCATTAAAATGTCAGAGTAAAAGCAGAGAGCCCTGCATTGTGCTTTGAAGTGCTGCCTATTGCCAGCTATTCAAGGTGCCATGCAGGGCTCTTTGCAAGCCCCTTCAAGGACTGACTGGCTGCAGACTTCCTCACAAGGGATAGCTCACTAGAGCATAAGACTCTTAATCACAGGGCCATGGGCTTGAGCCCCACACAGGGCGAATGATTCCTGCATTGCAGAGGGTTGGACTAGCTGATTTCCGTGGTCCCTTCCAACTCGACAATTCTGTAGCAGTCATGAAATTAAAAGACGCCTGCTTCTTGGGAGAAAAGCAAGACAAACAAGCATCTTAAAAAGCAGAGACATCACCTTGCCAACAAAGGTCCGTATAGTTAAAGCTATGGTTTTCCCAGTAGTGATGTATAGAAGTGAGAGCTGAACCATAAAGAAGGCTAATTGCTGAAGAATTGATGCTTTTGAATTATGGTGCTGGAGGAGACTCTTGAGAGTCCCATGAACTGCAAGAAGATCAAACCTCTCCATCCTTAAGGAAATCAGCCCTGAGTGCTCACTGGAAGGACAGATTGTGAAGCTGAGGCTCCAATACTTTGTCCACCTCATGAGAAGAGAAGACTCCCTGGAAAAGACCCTGATGTTGGGAAAGATGGAGGGCACAAGGAGAAGGGGTCGACAGAGGACGAGATGGTTGGACAGTGTCCTCGAAGCTACAAACATGAGTCTGACCAAACTGCGGGAGGCAGTGGAAGACAGGAGGGCCTGGCGTGCTCTGGTCCATGGAGTCATAAAGAGTCGGAAACGACTAAACAACAACAATATAGTCAGAGCACCACATGTGACATCAGGTGTGGGTCAGGTGGGCGTGGTGTGGGGAAAACAGCTTTGCAGGCCAAAACTGGAACCCATACTAGGGCAAAATAGGTCTGTGAGGTGGAGGTCTCCTGTCCCTGCACTAGGAGACAGTTCTCTGCTGGTGGAAATACAAAGGGGGTTCAAAGGCAGTATTGTTGAGCCAGTAAACTCCAGGTCATCGTTTGGGGAATATCTACATCTTTAAATTGAGAAAGTAGCTGAAAACAAGGAACAAGCAGCCTAATTTGTCCTTGTTTTTCAGCAGCACTATAACCTTGTCTGAGGCATTTTCCCTGGGCCAATTTGGTCACGTGCATTAGTAAACATCCTGGAGGATTTCTCTCCAAGATACAGCTTCCTCTCTACCTCTCTCACAATGTCCCTGTGTTTGTTTGTTTGCCTTTTGGCTATAGAGCTTTTGCATGTACATGTGACGCTTTGCCACTTTCCGCTTCTTCAAAACAGGCAACCTGTTTCTTACAATGTACGTTAAATAATAACTGAAAGAAGATGAAGGCAAGCTATTGATTTGCTTCTAGCTTTGATACACCTGGCCCCACCCTCTCTTTTGCCCTACCCAGTTAACCATCTAGCCACATGATCTGCAAATATTCCTGGCCTAAAGCTTCTTCCAAAAAGCCTTATGTTGAGTCCTGCCCAGCTATGGGGATATTCACTAGGTTCACTGTAATTTATTACTTGATCTAAGTGCCCACCCCAGTCCCAATAGTGCTATACAGTGAGAGGACAGTTCTTTCCCCCCTCTGTTGAAGATCCAGGTGTACAGTGCTTGTGCCCATGACATTTCCTGCGTCTATGCATTGTTTATGCACATAACCTGTTCTGTATTGTGTAATATCTTATCATCTGGAATTCAAAATTCTGCCATGTATTCTCAGCCCCAATCACATCAACCTTGAACCTGGAAGCCTCAGCAGTGGAACTTAGTTTTGATTTGTGATGCAATTATATTTCACTTCTCATTTTGTTTAAAATAATGCTCAATGTAGTTTCACAGCAGAAAGAATAGTAGCATAGCTAAAAGTAGCAGCACGTTAAAAAAAACTTGTTACTACCTGCAGCTTTACCAAAGAACTAAAAAGCCTAAGAAAGGAAATCTTCATCCAATTGTACTTCCCACCCACCCAGTAACTACTGAGAGCAGTTTCTCTGCAGGGTCCCTCTAACAGAGTGCAACGTTTATTTAAAACAAAATTGCTGTTCTGAGACATTCCTAAACTTTCAGGGCCGGGAAACAGAAAGTTGAGCTGGTGTCTCTGTTTTAGGACACATATTGGAGCAAGTGAGCATTAAGAAATGGAGCTGGCAAATAATATCATAGCATTCTTTGTTCCCTTAACTTCCTGACCATGCTGTGTGCTGTTTATTCATGCTTTCTTCCTCCCCTCCCCCTGTTCCCTTTTCGTTATGCTTGACCCATTGATT